TTTCCAATTAAGCCCCAGGGGTGCAGGTATACGCTTTTGTAAGTGAAAGAGAGCGCCCTTGGACTCAGCCCCCATTTTGATTTCGCGATCGAGCTTAGTTTCGAGAAGACGCATCTCGTCATTTCTCTGATCTTGATGGCATGGTTTGTAGGACTTAGCCTTTCTCCCAAAACTATGCCTAGGTACTTTACCTTTTCGCTCAGCTTGATTCTTTTCCCTTCGATCTTAATCACGGGGCTTGTACCTAATTTGCCTTTTAGCAATAGCGATTGGCATTTGTCAGGAGCAATTTTTAATTTGGCCTCTTTGCACCATGTTTTGATCGCCGTCACCACAGGGTTGTCAGCTGTTAAATATTTATCAACTGGCACGTTTTCGGCCTATGTTTGACCTTCCTCAAGCCAAAGATGAAATATTGATACATAAACTAAAACAGAGAGAATCCTTAATCAATGGATAAGAATATTTGTACGCCTGCTATTGATGACAACACAATTTAAGGATAGAACGATGACTGTATTTATGTTTTTTTTCTAACTGAATTTCGGCTTTATAATACTAATTTGGTCCATCCGACTTGTTTCAACTTCCCGCCATCCTCAGAAGTGGGTGTAAGTGATAATAACTTAGCCTAACAATCTTTATTATTTTTTAAAATTTTTTTTACGAGGGTTCGCAACAGCAGAGGTCATATTTTTGAAAAAAAAGCCCATTTGTAAGTATGTCGGGTTCGAATGCAGGGTCGCTGGATTCGAACCCGGGACCTTCACCTTACAGTGATGAGCGCCGTGTCAACGCCTAAACCGTTGCGGCCACCGACGCCCCCGTTATTCTTTATTAAATTGTGAGATTCCATTTTATTGTCAGTGGAGTGATGAATGTGTAATGTGGACGTTTTCGATCAAGCTGGTTTAACTATAACTTATAACTTGCTGAATTTGGTCCATCCGACTTTATAACTTACCCTGGCTAGCCCTATTAAGGAGTGACATTCCATTTCAAATCCAACGGGGTGATAAACCTGTAATTTATTTCCTTCCGATCATGCTGGTCTATATTTGCTGATTTGGTCCGCACGACGCGCTTTAGCTTCCCGTCATCCTCAGTGGTAGGTCTCAGTGACATTAATTTACTCCGGCTAGCTGTGTAACATTGTAAATTTCCCTTTCTAAACAGCAGTTGATAAACGTGTAATTTGGTCGCTTCCGATCATCCCGGTCTCCTTATATTTGCTTGATTTATCCTTCTGACTTGTTTCAAATTCTCGCCATCCTCAGTGGTGTGTCTCAGTAATATACTAACACAATACATACATACAATACATACTGTATCCAGGTTTTCTGTTTTATATTGTAAAATTCCATTTTGAGTATAGCGGGGTGATGAACCCGTAATTTGGTCAGAAAGATGTAGTTCTGTCATTGCTGCTGTTTTGGTCTGGCAGGCGCTTTTCGGCTTTTCGCCATCTTCAGAAGAAGGCGTGTTATTTTGAAGGATACGATAGACGAAATTTACGACGAAAATTCCTGATGAAATTCTTTTCATTCAAATTAAATATAACAAAAAATTCCAAGGGAAACGCCAGGAACCCAGTGTTCGTCTTAGCTAAAAGACAAAATTTGAAAGTTGATGTTTCGATTAAACCGAGTAGACCGTCGCACCTAAAATTTCTGATATCACCTTTACCACCACTGTTGCTGACCAATATGAAAATCAGGCCAGTTGTAAGTCATTCAGTTGAATTTTTGACGAAAATACATATTTACAAAAAGGAAAAAGTAAAGTGGTTTCTGTTATACTGGAAGGCTTAACTCCAAGCCATTTTTTCATATCATTCTGAAATAAAAATTTAAAAACCAGCTATACCGGGATTCGAACCCAGAACCACTTGGGATATACGAATCGGACGCCCTATCCACTTACATATTGTTAGAAATAATTGGTTGGAAGTACGAAGGGTGTGCTAATTAAAGTTCTCACCTCAAGTAGCTATTGTTAAATTAAAATTTCAAAGGGACAATTTAAAAGCCCTTGTATGCTTCCTCGCGAGGTGACTTGACTAGTAAATTGGACAGCACGATTTAAAGGAAACGAGGCTAGATAGATTTCTCCTTGAGGCTTTTTATCGACATGAAAAATTATTAAATCATGTTTAATCGTAAAGAAAATTCAATTTTTTTTCACTTCCAGGTCGTTTACTTCACTGCCCTTTTTCCGTACTTCCTGTTAACCGTCCTTCTCATTCGTGGAATTACCCTTCCGGGTGCGGCCGAGGGGATTTATTTCTACATCAGTCCTAATCTTTCAAAACTGAACGATTCTCAGGTAGAGTATGTCGGGAGGTAAATCGTATTTAATTTTTAATGCGAACGAATCTGCTCTCGATTTCAGGTATGGATAGATGCTGTCACCCAAATCTTTTTCTCGTACGGTTTGGGCCTAGGAACTCTCGTCGCTTTAGGAAGCTACAACAAATTCACCAACAACGTTTATAAGTAAGGCCAATATATTATAAATAAATATATTTAAAAATTACTTGCACTATGAGCCGAGAAAAAAATTGGTTTTCTACCTTCGTTGCGCTCGTATTCCAAGCTTATTATATATCGATTTATTTGTTTTATTACGTTACACTCTTTCAGTACAATCAGCCAAAAAAGGTGGTTTTTGAAAAATGAATTCGGATTCGTGTTAACCACCCTATCCTTAAATACGAATTATTACAGCAAAAAAGTCATTTTTGGACTGGATTCTTCGGCGGCAGTAATTTTTTTTAAAATCTCCGATGTCCGGTGTTCCCATTAAAAAATCCATAACTGTTCTTTATTTTATCCAAATGCAACTTTATCACAATCGATCTTAATCTTTCTTCTTTTAAAGTATGTCAACAAAGGCTAGCCGAAGGTCGTGGGTTCGAATCCCGCTTGTGACAATGACTTTTTCATTTCAACCAATACCTTACATAAAAAGATTAATTAATTGAAAAAAGTTATTTGGTCAATCGGACCATTAAATGTAATGGATTTATGTCAACAATGTTTATATGTTATCATAAATGAGAAAAATAAGGATGAATTCAATAAACTGTTCAAAAATTTTAGCGGTTCAAATTTATTCGAGTTTCTGCCATTGTGCGTAGATTATAAAATTTTAAGCCCTTGTAAAGTTTCCTGTAGATCAGTTTTTCAAAGTTTTCACAAGTTCCGTTATTTTTAACAAATAATCTAATAATAAAAATCTTAGGCATTCGGAAGGCAAACGATTATTGAAGCATTATTTTTTGTTTTTCCGTATTCAGAGGTTTTTCGGACTGCAGAAAACGAATATCAACTTCGTTTCTTCCTAATTTTTGTTTTACCTATTTTGCTTGGCCGTAAAATAATAAAAATTAAAACACTTGTAGTAAAGTTAGCCAAAAAAAATTGTTTAAAAATTCACTAATTTCGTGGTCCGCTTGACCAATTAAATCATTACAATTAATTAAGGTTTTTAGTTGAGATGAAAAAAAGTTAATGGCACGAGCGGGATTCGAACCCACGATCTTCGGCTAGATACGCCGCTGCTCTACCACTTGAGCTATCGTGACCTCGACCACTCGGACATCAATTGTTTAAAAAACTCGAATTCTTATTAAACACCTAATTACAGACCCTTAAATTTTTCGGCTGGGGGCAACTTTTTCTTAGATGTCCGAATTTGTACAGTTAAATAACTCATAACTCATCTGAATTTTATTCAAATCCAACTTTATTGCAATTAGATTTAAAGTCATTATAAATAAGAAAAATAAAATGAAATTCAACAAAAATTCATCGAAAAATTTATTTCTTTATTTTTACTAAGGTGCTAATTTTTTCACAGAGGCCAAGTTTGTGCCACTTCGTCTACTTCATAAAATTTTAAGGTCCTGTGAAGTTTCCTACGGATCGGTGGTTTTTTTATTGTATCAGTATTTCTGTGATTTTCAAGAAACAAATCTCTGCCATTCGTAAGACGAAAGATTTGAGAAAATTGTATATTTTTTGTTTCCATAAAAATCTGCATTCAATTTTTTTTGGAGTGCGAGAAACTAATATCAGCTTTGTTTTGCTTAGTCACAAATTGTACTGGATTATGCTTAAATTTGGGCTTCATAATTCCTCTGAATTTTATCCCAACTCCAAATTATTACTTGCAAATGCAAAAATAAGGATGAATTTAGCAAAAACCCTTTAAACATTTTATTTCTTAACTGCGCTGCTAATTGTTTACGGAGGCAAAGTTTATTTGTGCTTATATACTAAGCCCTAGTGAAGTTTTTGGTGGATTGGTAGGTTTTTAAAAGTTATCACCATTTCTGTCATTTTGGAAAAAAAATCTCAGGCAATGGTAAGGCGAAAAATTTGAGAAATATTTGTATTTTTGATTTTCTTAAAAAACTGTATTTAGGCTTTTTGTGGAGTGAGGAAAACGAATACCATCTTTCCTTCTTGTTTAATTTTTCTTTTAACATGCTTTGCTCAATCACAAATTATGCTGGATTATGCTTGAGCTTGGACAGAGTAGCCTGAGCCGGGTGCAATTTTTTTCTTTACCATGTCTGTTGTTCCTCGGTTAAAAAATTATCCAAAACCAACCAGCTTAAGAAGCTTAATCTTTTTTCTTTTGAAGTGTGTCAACAATGTTTAAATTTTATATCATTGTAAATGAGCAATATATGATATAATTCAACAAAACATCTTCAAACATTTTTGTTTTTAACAGCAGTTCTAATTTTTTTAAATTTAATTTAATTTTTATTACGGAGGCGAAGTTTACTTTTGCCAGTCATTAATTATGACGAAAAATTGCCCCCCTCCCCCGTTAATTAAGCACAAAAATACCTATTTTTCGATTTCTATAAAAAATTGTGTATAAGAACTTTAAAGTGCGCTTAATTTGAATTCGAACTAATTTTTTGAAAACATATTTTTTTGTCCTACTCTGTCCAGTAGGACGCATCTATTCCTTTTGTAACTTTTTATGTAAATAATCTCATTTAATGCAATATTTCATATTATTTTCTTATTCTAGATTTTAAAAAATCTTTTCCATTTTTTAAGCTTTCGCACCAGGAGCACTCGGCCTTTCAGTCTTTTTATTGTTTATGGGCGGTGTTAACCCGACGCCATTTGAAATTTAGTCGAAGTGGTGCAATTTTCTAAAAATGCAAGGGTTTTTCTATTTTTTTTTTGTTCTCTTTCAGAGATGCTTTGATCGTATGCTGTGTGAACTCTGGGACCAGCATGTTCGCAGGTTTTGTAATATTTTCCGTCGTCGGTTTTATGGCGCATGAACAGCAAAAGCCTGTCGGCGAAGTAGCCGCGTCAGGTAAATTTCAATCAAAGTTTTTACCCTAAGACAAATAAAACTCATCAGAGTTGACAATAATTTGAATTTCCAGGTCCAGGATTGGCTTTCTTAGCTTATCCATCAGCAGTACTTCAGCTTCCAGGAGCCCCTCTCTGGTCGTGTTTATTTTTCATCATGCTATTATTTATAGGTTTAGACAGTCAGGTAATTAAGAATAACAAAATCGTCCCAACCCCTTATTCATCGAACAAAGCTAAATAGTTTAAAAATTAATAAAATTTTTATTTTTCAGTTTTGCACCATGGAAGGTTTCATAACTGCCATGGTAGACGAATGGCCACAACTCCTCAGGAGGAGGAAAGAAATATTTATTGGGATAGTGTGCATATTGTCATATCTAGTCGGCTTTTCATGTATATCACAGGTGAGTTTTTTAAATAAATTTTCCAGTTTGAAACATGTTTAAACTGCTTTACATTTTTCAGGGTGGTATGTACGTGTTTCAAATATTAGATTCTTACGCCGTAAGCGGTTTCTGCTTGCTCTTTCTCATATTCTTTGAATGCATTGCTATCTCCTGGGCTTTTGGCGTCAACCGATTTTATGACGGGATTAAAGAGATGATCGGCTACTATCCATGGGGTGGATGGAAGTTCTGCTGGGTCTTCGCGACTCCAGTTATTTGCATTGTAAGTTTGAAAAATAAAACAAAAAATACAGCTATTCTGGTTCGGTTTGTTTTTGAATATGACTTGCTTTTTAGGGCACATTTGTATTTAATTTAGTGCAGTGGACGCCGATTAAGTACCTGGACTATGAATACCCATGGTGGAGTCATGCTTTTGGCTGGCTGACAGCGCTTTCGTCTATGCTTTGCATACCGGGTTACATGATTTGGTCTTGGTTTAACACCCCAGGTGACTTCAACACGGTGAGTTTTCGTATAATTAAAAAAAAATTTGGAAAAACGCAAATCAAACTTCTGATAGTTTCGAAACTCTTTGGATGTGGATAAGCTGAAGAGGCTACGGACGAGAGATGCAGGATTTTAATGAAACTGTTTCGTTTTGGTTATTTTTGTGCATGTATTTCAAGTTTATGATATACAGCAAGTTTATTATATTTATTTTTGTTAACTTAAAATAATAAAATAATGATGTATGATTGTATTAAATAATATTAAATATGTAAAAATGTTCAAAAACCAATAGACGCTTTCAGCAAAGTAGGCCGAAAAAATATTTAAAAAAAAACAATTCAGATTCGTTTTAAGCACGTTAAACACTTTAAATATGATTTATAGTAATCGAAAAATATAATTTTTTGGGCTGGATAGCCAGGGGCTTTTTTCTTAGATGTCCGATGTTCAACGGTTTAAAAAAAAATTATTACCATCGTTAGACAGTTTAATCTTTCTTCTATTAGAAGATGTCAACAATTTTTACACTTTATATCACTATAAATAAGAAAAATCATGATGAATTGAACAAAAATTCTTTAAACATTATATTTTTTAATATACTACAACAACGTTCCTATCCCCAAATCCGACTGCGTTCGCTACCTTGGATTCCACCTAGACTCACGACTAACGTGGAATCAACATACACGACTGACACGACAAAACTTAAACAGACGGTATGGTCTACTGCACAGACGTTTATGACGACAGTCTAAACTATCGACAAAAAACAAACTTACAATTTACAAAACACTACTACAACCGATTTGGACGTACGGAATAGAACTGTGGGGAACCGCTAAACCTTCCAATATCCAACGTCTCCAATCCTTTCAATCTAAAGTCCTCAGATCCATTGTAAATGCTCCTTATTATGTCTCAAATGCTACCCTCCACAACGACCTTCAAATTCCTTATATCCAACAATTTATTCCCCAAAAATTTACCAAGTTTTACAGAAAACTCTCCCACCATCCAAATAGTCTTGCCCAAGCCCTGTCCGATAGAACCTATCCCTACAACCCCATAAGGCGTCTTAAGAGGAAATGGCCCCGCGACCTCCTTTCCGAGTAATCTGTAAAAAAAACATAAACAAAGTGAAGAGGGAGGATAACATTGTTTATTTTCTCCCCTCAATGTAAATAGTTCATGTATCCGCAAATTACATATTGTAAATAATAATTACAGATTGTAATAAAAAAAAATTGCGGATTTAATTTATTTATACATGTAGTTTTTTAAAATTTTTAAGCGCTTGTAAAATTTTTGTAGTTCAGTGAAGTTTTTTCAAAGCTATCATCATTTCTCTGATTTTTGTAGAAAAAATCGTGATTCTGATGGCGAAAGATTTGAGAAAAACTGTATTATTTTATTTTCCTGAAAGTTGGTATCGAAAGGTTTGTACGGGTGCTGCAAAAGAATATCAACTTTATTTCTTGCTAAAGAAATATTTTAGCCTACTTTGCTTAGTCACAAATTATGCTGTACTACGCTTAATTTTGGTCAGTGGACAATTTATTTTTCGTTGAGCGGAGTTCCGGTGTTAAAAAATTCATAACTCCTCTTGATTGTATCCAAATTTAACGTATTGTAGCCGTTAGAAAGCTAAAAATCTTTCCTTTCAACCTATGTCACCGTGTGTCATTTTTATAGCAATAGAAAATAGAGATTTGTGGGCTGGATAATCGGGTGTAATTTTTTTTCTCGGACGTCGGTGTTCCACGGTTAAACAATGCATAAACTATTTTTGGATTTTATCCACTGACCACGGTTTACAACCGTTGGAAAGTTGAATCTTTCCACTTTCCTCCACTCTCAAGAAAGTTTAGATTTTATGTAACTATAAGGAAGAAAAACAGGTGAATTCAACAAAACTCCTCCAGCGTTTAATTTTATATGTCTAATTATATTTTTTATAACGGGCATGTTTATGTCAGTAAGTGCAGTTTAAAGCCCTTGTAAGGTTTCATGTGGAACTACCCGTTTATAGAGCTAAATAGGCTAGGAGACCACATAGGTTATACTGATAATGTAGTAGTAAAAATAAAGAGAACTTTTGATGAAACGGTTTCATCTCAAATGTAAAAAGCTCTCAAGTATGTAAAATTGTGACATGATGAGGACAAAACCACACAAATACGATTTACAGCAAAGAGAAAAATCTTATTCCAAAAGCAACTTCTTTAAAAAAAATAAAAATTCATCTCAACCATGAAAACAAAAATTGAGTAAAATAATATGCCTTCATACTGGAAACTGCCCAATTGCCCAATAATAACTACATTAAAAAAATCTGCTTGAAAAAACAGAGACATGAGAACAAATTTAACAAGTCAAAATGTTACATTCACTTCGGAAAGGACTAGAACCTAGGGGAAAAAAGCGAAGAGGCGCCCAATTCTCAACGATTCAAAAGAACTCTGCGCAGAATAAATATTTAAAAAGGATTTAAAGGTGTAGACATATTCTCAGAAAGCACTAAAGGCTTTGACTCCTCCACATTCCGGTCAAATGAACAAACTAGCAAAAGCAGGTGCACTTTGGACCAGAAAGTATGGTTTTACCTCTCTAGGAAAAATTAAGGCAAATAGGAAGGAATTTAGTAAAATACTAAGCCCATATACTGGGCACTGCCAACTTAATAACCACATTTTTAAAAGTTGGGAAAAACTGAAACAGAAAACTGCCAACTATGCCATGAATCAGCATAGACATCGGAACAAATCTTAAGAGACTGCAAACCGGGTCACCACTTCGTGTTTTACTACCTCAAGTGTTAAAAGTTGTACAAATATATGTTCGTACACCTAAGCCGCACTGAAGACTATAGGTCAAAAATGGTCTGGCTGGCCTAATACATCTGGAGCTCCTGGAACAACGTGATCAGGTAACCCAGATGTGGATACCCAGAGGTCAGGCGAAAATTATAAAAAAAAAAATTAAAAAAAAAAAATAGGCCTATATACTGACCACTTAATAACTACATTTAATAAAAAAATGGAAAACTGAAACCATCGAAACAAGTCTTATATATCTGCAAACGAAACAGCTTCATGCTTAACTACCTGAAAATAGTGTACCTTTTGATGTACAAAGTAGGGTCGATTCCAAAATAATTTTATTATTTACACCCTGGAAAAAATTATCCGATCAAATTTTGGGTTTACACTTCTTCTTCACATTTTTTCAGTCTAATTTGTTCTTTAAAAAATTAATCAATTTGAATCATTCCAGAATAACTTAAACAGAATAACTTAAATACTTGATTAAAAAATAACTTTTTATTATAATTTAACATATATAAAATCGTAAATCATGTTTTCTTCTAAAATGTCAGTGCGTTTAGATTGGTTCCATCGAATTCTAACAGAGGACGCTACAAGCTAAAACAGACTCCGCTTGAACGCAACTTTAGAGTGAAAAGAAAAAAAGTCTTACAATTACATTTTACAGCAAATATTAGATGTTTTCCTCCGAAAACCTGAGCCGGAAACGATGAATCGTCCTAACACGATTAAGAATAGGTCATACGCGGTTGACACACGGGCACCTGCTCCCCTTATGCAAAGAAATATTGCTTGATGTATCCCACAAAATAGATGCTTGTACAGAAAGCGTAAGCATGCCGCTGAATTTAAGAATGGCTCTCGGGCACAGTAGTGGGTTTCCGTGTCCCCGATTACGCTTTTTTGAGGACGAGGAATTTTTTCCATACCTTTATCGTCCCTAATTTATATTACATCATTAACATTGTATGTAGGTCGAAGAAGGAATATCGAGTGTTCCACCGACTAATCTGAATGAGTGCAATATACATAGGTGTGAATGTATTTATCTGTGCGACTGCTTTGTAGAAGTTAGTTAGAGCCCGATTAAGAATAGGTCATACGCGGTTGACACACGGCCAAAGCCCCCGCAGGTGCCCCTTATGCAAAGAAATATTGCTTGATGTATCTCACAAAATAGAAACTTGTACAGAGAGCGCAAGCAATGCGCTGAATTTAAGAATGGCTCTCGGGCAAAGTAGCGGGTTTCTGTGACCCCGGTTCCGCTTTTTGTTGGACGAGGGATTTTTTTCCTTACCCCCATCATCCCTAATTTACGTTACATCATTAACATTGTGTGTAGGTCGAAGGAGGAATATCGAGTGCTCCGCCGACTAATCTGAATGAGTGCAATATACATAGGTGTGAATGTATTTATCTGTGCGACTGCTTTGTAGGAGTTAGAGTTAATCTAGTTTATATTATTGCAAGCGTTGGGACTTGAAATGTCCTAACTGTCAAAAGCACCCACTAAAGCCTAACCTCGTTGGTTGGTTAGCGATGATCTCCTGGGCATCTGGCTTAAGGGAAATAATAGTGACACAGCCGCATAACGGATAGGTGAACTTCCCTGAGGTATAGACCCTAGGGTCAGCACAACGAGGAATAACAACCCTTCGGGTTGAAAGTCCATTAGATGTTTTCATGTCCGTTATTACCTGTTAATTATTAATTTAATAAATTTGTTACGTTTTAAAAATCGGCTTTGCTCAATCAGCAACCCCGGCAGGGTTCTATTGCATTTTTCCGACACATTTGAAAGCAAATCTTTTTCCCTACGTGCCCATCCTTTGATTGATTTTTTGAATAATCGCCTTGACTAATTTTAATAGGGTTTTTCAAACTTCTTTGAAAAAATTACGTCTGTGAAGATTGTCTGCGGTTTACAATCCTCACCAGGGTTAATAGACCAAGTGCGGTTTCTCTACTTTTTTTTTATGAACGTTAATCATGGCAATTTTTCACTTGCCTCATAAGAATTATGGTCAGGTTGAAACGTGATAAAACTCTGCGTCATTTGGGACGGAGATATCTCTCCGTTAGTTATATAACACATACGAGTATAATGCTCGCTTGTTATCGCCCGCCGGCTGAATATCCCTAGCGTCGATTTCGGCACATGATAATTATGTATATCAAAGTTGG